CTACGTGGCCGTTGCGCTCTTCCCGGAGCGTTCCGTGTGCGTAAGCCTGTCACAGGACACACAGAGGTAGCGCTCTGTGCAGTCAGTTTTGTGTCACCTCAGGTTCCCTCAGACGACCGTCTCACAGCGGCCCTGTCTATTCCCGACCCCCCGCTGCAGCGTGTTCCGTCGGTTTTTGATTTGCACGTGTGAAATGTAGAGCTGGGTTTAAAAAATTCCCCACAACACGTCTGAATGACTTGTTTCCCAAACCATATACCTGCTTTCAGTGCTTCTGTAGTCAATAAGCTATAAAAATTCACTTCTGCAGTCAGATGAGGTAACTGTAACTCATTCAACCAGTGCAGGTTTGTCTGGCGTCTCTCTTACTGACGTATGGAAATGCTTCTCATTAAACGGGTTCTTGGAGCCCTAAACTCTTGTCCTCTGCTTCCTGCTCGTAACCCGGGAGCACTTGGCACCCAGCAGGGATGTCCGAGGTGTTTCCCAGTCCAGCTGTGCTCTGGCACAGTTCAGTGCGGTGAGTCGGGTGCCGTTGGGACCCTCCTGATCTGCCTCTGCTACTCGAGTGCCTCGCACGCCAGCGAGGGGAGAGTCGGCCGCGCGCGGAAGGGCCACGGCACTCTCAGGCAGCCGCGTTGCGAGGGTGTTTCTTGGGCAGAGCGTAGTTCAGTTTCGACGCTGTGAGAGACGGCTGTCTGCGGCGTGCTGAGGGTTGGATACACGGGAACGGTGTTCGGAAAGCTCGTGCTGCAAGGGCTGCCTCTGCGGTGCTAATGCCGGAGATCGTAACTGTAAGGGAAAGAACAAAGGTGTTGGCGTGGCGCTATTAATTGAGGGAATCTTCTATTACCGCCAAGTCCCGCTGCAGTTGCAGCTAGTGACCCGCTTCGGCAACCCACCCGAGCACTGGAGCCACGCTGGACCTCGTGGCCGTGTCCCAGTGCTTCCGAGCGCAGGCTGAAAAAGGCCTTTGTGTGAATGGAAAAGAAGCTGCCTGGAAACAGGGAAGAACGATTTACTCACGTTTCTCCGCTGGGTCTTCGCCCCGATTTTTCCTCTGGAGGGTGGCACCTGGTAGACGAGGCGTTCTCAAGGAATAACAGGGATGTGGTGTATCTGTTTGTGAGCACACCTGGATGCGCTGAGCATTTTGCAGCAGTAATTATGTCTGCACACCTGCTGTGTTCAGTCCCCAGTCGGTTTGCCAGACATGCCTCGGAGATTTATTTCCCCTTTACCTGAAAAAGCTCTCTTACCACTGAGTTTTTACTGCTCTAAATAAGCCTGAAGAAAAAAATAAGAGGATTTTTTCTTGTCTTTGCTTGAGCCGTTGGTATCTGCCACTGAACTGTGGAGTTTGATGGGGAGGAGGGCGTTTGGATGATATTTTAATAGCCATTTGTTTTTGCTTCCATGTGTGATAGAAATACAAGTGACAGGAGTGGGAACAGGAGAATTGCTGAATTCTGCTGGAATTTTTCCTGTGGGAATCTGCTAATGTTTTTAATTCTCTGAGGGATTTTTCTAAGGTAATCCTTTTGACATTTACATATTTTAAATGACTCTCATTAAATGAAAGCTTAAGTTTTTATATTAAATGCTGAAGTGATGATACTGGAAAACCACTGGATAGACATTCAGATGGCTTGAAGATTATTCTAATTGCAACCTAAACAAAGTAAGTTTTGTGAGGAATATGAATAGTGAACTGTTCTTTAAAATAACATAATTTTGAAGGAAATTTAATTGTTCTGGCCTTTAGTAGAATCAATTTTTCTAGCGGGTGGTGGGCACAGCCACCCAACCACGGAAACGCTGGTGGAACAGCGGCGTTTCCCACTCCTGGCTCAGGCAGCAGGCAGGGTCTGTGCGGGACCCCAAGGGTTGGCAGCGCCCCTCGTCACAGCTGCGGTACCTGTCTGTGTCACACCAGCTGTACCTTCACGGGGGCTGCCCGTAGCAGCGCAGGGAGGGCGGGAAAGCACAAGAAGTGGAACATCTTTTTAAGAAGAGTGTGATGATGAGGGGTTGCATCTCTTACTGGTGATAGCCTCCTGCAAACGAGTAATGCCACAAGCAAAAATACTATCTTTGAAGATCCTTTCGCAGGAGCCAGGCGTCGCAGCAGGATACCTCAGGAACAAACACACAGTCTAGCCCTAAGATGCTTTCAAATGAACTTTTCTCTATGTTGTACTTTACTTTTCAAGCCCTTGAGCCAGATTTTGCTCTCAGACCAGCCTAAACACTAAGCAAATTCATTTAATTAAATTTGCTGCAGATATCCCCAGTTAACAAGAACAGATTGGTCTCCCCGGGGCTAGATGGAATTAACAAGGAAATAAATGTTGTGCTAATTACATAACTCATTTTCAGACACCTGGGGTGAAACTTCAGAAAGTCCTAGAGATTTAGGATTGAAAATTCATTGGAAAATGAGTCTCAGGCTTCTAAATCACCTAGGCACTTTTGAAAAATGTACCCAGAGGCTTTAACCATTGCACAGCCATCGTGTTTAGCACGCTTGCAGCTGCCTGCCGAGCAAAACGGGGCACAACCATTTCCTGTTCGTGTCAGTAGACCACAAGGGATTCATTATCCCTGTGAGTAGAGATGTTCCCCTCCCTGGTGAGGGGCAGGTAGGCTAAATGTCATTTTTCTGAGGATGCTCATGGAACACTGGATGCTTTCTTGGAGTTTTTATGGCACTAGTGCATAAAATTTTCATCTATTTGCGACCTCACAGGACTTGCTGTTCATTTAGGTACCTGAGAACTTTTAACTGAATCTTGGTCTTCAGTGACTTGTCCAAGCTCATGGATGAAGACAGCACAGATGCAGTTTTATAGTTCAGCACTTGCTGGGAGAAAAATGAGACGCTTAATACTGTCAGGCTGCCATTCAGCTGCTGAGTCATGACAGGAAGTAATAAGGAGCCATCTCCTGAACCAAATAAAAAATGAGAGAGGTTTAATATTAAGCCGAATCCCCAGATTCACGTATCTGATTAGCAAAAAAGCCAGCAAAGAACCAGGCTCCGAAGAGTGAAAAGCCACTTCACTTGCTTATGGCTTGAAAGTGTGTTTTCACTTGGGTTTGTTCCCGTAGCCAGTCTGAGGATGTTTCTGAAACACTGTCCTTGTAAAGACATGCATTAGCAGCGTCTGTTTCATGCCAGGTAAAACCCTTCCCACAGCCACGCACACACTTGCTGTCTGTCAGCAAAAACTTCTGTGTCAGTAATTAGAAAAATGCTATTAAAAACCTGCCTTGTAATCCCAGATAGCCTCTGGGTTGGCTCCGTTCCGTTTGTCTTCCTCGCTCAGTGCGGGAACCCAGGATCATTCTTCCATGAAGAGGGACCCGCTCCTCTGACAATTCACGTGGTTCTACAAAGTGTCGTGAGGGCACCAGCATACATCTGTAGTGTCCCGGAGAGGTGACCTTTGGTGACAAACCCCTTGCTCTAACAGGCTTGTAACACAGGGGAAGCGTGTTACAGATGGGCTCTTGGGAGCTGGATCTCACCGTGGGGGCGAACCTGTACGTCGTGTAATCGTCTGGAGGTTGACTCCAGCCTGTCACGGATCGAGATCATCGGACAACATCATAAACCAGATGAGTCAGGGCACTAAAACATGGAGGTTATCCACTGAGCTCATTATTTTTATATCTAATTACACAGCACTGTTGAGGGAGAACTGCGCGTTATGCTGAAGGATCCTGTTTCATCACTAGTCCTAAAAGATAACTGGGTTTAATTGGGATCTCTAGATACCATGGTGATTACTGATCTATAAACACTCAAGGTAGACCTGCAAATGAGGCGCAATGGCAAGCGCATCCGTTAAACACAACTCAAAAGCCGACGGTGAGGTGACAGAAGTTGAGCCGTTTTAATTTACCATGTAGCTTGCAGCTCTGACACTGTTCTGACTCTGCAATTCCTCTGCTGTGAACCAGCAGGCACAAAACACCTGCTGGTTCTCCCTTACTGAATTCAGAAAATCTTTTGTCTAATCCAGTGTCACACATGCCTGAGTGGGAAGGAGTGATGAGAGCTGGCATCTGTGGTGGGAAAAGCTGTCCTTCTCTGTGCCGGGGCAGAAGGAGGCAGCAGAAATACAGACACAGCTAGGAACACCACAGATGAAGCAGTAAAAACTTTCCGTGCTGAAAGTATTTCTTATAATGGATGTTATAACACATTCCCCAGTGAATTGAGAACTGGACTTACAAAGAGGCTGCTGGTTACCTTGCCGCAGCGCAGGTCTGGAGTGCCAACTGCAGCACGTCAGAACACAGAAGAGTCGTCCCTGCGCACAATTGAGGGCAAAGGTGTAAGTGTGTGTGGAAACACTCGGTGTCGGTGCCTGATCGCATCGCACGAGCTATCCCTCCGAGTTCCTAATTGCCCTTCCCCTTTCCCATGTGAGACAGGGCAACGTGCTGCCCCACATACGTGTCCTGCAGTAATGGGATTCTTGTGTGAAGGCTCGTAACGCTAATCTCTGAAACTCTGGTGTGTTCACTGCAATGCTTTTCTGTAAATGGTTGTGAGTGAAGAGCACAGAAATGGTGTTTTGATGGGGAGGAAAGGGAAAGACTTGCCAAGGGGCTAAGTGGCATGATGAATTGCTTGCCCACTGAAATTGTGGGTATCCAGTTTCTTGTGTTGTGCAGCTCTTCCTTTTTGCAGCAGGGAGCAGAGCTGAACACCCCTGTACTTACAAGTGCGGGAGAAGTGCGTACGCACGCCCAGCTCAGCACTAACCTTGCTTAAAAGGGCTGCAGCAAAGAGCCCATCTGACAGCTGCTTGTCAGCCCAGGTGAGGAGGAAACACTTTACTCTCAACTGCGTGTGGCAAACAGGAATAACACTCAGGAAAGTGATAGGAAAAGCAAATGTCCTGACCAGACTGTATTTCAAGTTGTAGTTTCACTGTAGGCTGCCTTACCCTGTTATATCCATGTTTTCTCCCCCAGTTCACTGCTGGATGGCTCTGCCACCTCCAGATCCAGAGTTCATTCTCAGAGGCACCGGTGCTGCAGTCCACACTCTGCATTTTTCCTGTGGCAGCCCAGACCCTGATGTCCCCACTCTTTTCTCTGGGTGAGTAAACCAGGATTTCTGGCTGAGCTGAGTATCACATGGACATTTCTTTGTAAAACAAAGTGTGTTATTTAGATGGGCTGTATCTGGAGAGAACAACAGAACGCAGGACTGGTGAGTGAGGCGTGTGCTATCTCCATACATACAGCTTCTGCTTTGGAAAAAAGGGAAAGTACCAGGCTGTCCCGTCAGCCGGGCTGCAGTGGTCACGCTGAGAGCATCTCTTCTGCTGCCAGGTCTGAGAATGGGCTCGTCCACGCCTGGAACCTGAGAACGCGCAGAGTGGACACAGCGCTGGATGGCCACGGAAGAAAACCTGTCTACAGCGTGGAGACAATGGGGGGTAAAGACAGGCTCCTCAGGTCAGCACAGCAGCAAACCCCACCAAACTGTTGTTTGTGATGTACGGGAGGGCAGAAGGGCCGGGGGGGAAGGGGGGATCCCTTTTCTCTGGAGCCACTGAAAGTCTCTCCAACACACATGGAAATGTTCAGAAGTACAAAGCCGTAGAAGAACTGTAGGACAACATGTAGAAAAAACATACAGTTAATTCCTTTACGACACATACGTGGTGACATCACAGCCAGGATGTCCACAGTGTCTCTTACTGCTCTGAGAACAGCTGAGGCCTTTGGGTAAAGGAAATGCACTCGGATTTGCAGTTGACAGATGCAACTGGTTCTCAGGACGATCCAAACTGACACAAAGCGTGTAAATAGAGGGGAGAGGGAAAAGGCAATGACGGAGGAGGAGAATTGGAGATGGAGAAAGAAAGGCTGAAAATGAGCAAGAAGGCTGAGTTGCACACCTTCGCTGTGTTGCAAAACACCTTCTGTTCTTATTTAGCAAGGGAAGGCCGGGAAGATTTGTGTACCTTGGATTAGACAGGTGATCCAGAGTAGATGCCAAAGTGTCTGTATGACTAGGAGGTGTTCTGACATGTTTATCTAGAGAAGACATCTCTTATATTATACAGTGGAACTAATTAGCATTTATATTTGTTATCTGCTTAAGTACAATTATCAACACTCTCCCCCATAAAACCATACTGAATGAGCATTGTTTGTATCATTATAGAGTTTTTCCATACCTCTATTTTTGCTGTATTTATAACAGTTCACACAGCAGTGCAATTTTAAGGCAGCAGTTACCTGTATTTTTGTTTCTCTCTTCTGAAGCTCGATCACAGCAGTTTCTCACAGCACCACGTTGTTTGTATGCCCAGTGCTATCAATGTTTTGACAGTCTGTCACTCAGCTGAACAGCAGATGGGAGTCCCAACAGTCTGTAGATTTGCACCTACCTCTGCTCAGGCCTGGTACTTCCATCAGGTGACACTGCTAATTAAAATGACAGGGATAAGGGATTTCTGAGTCCTTGTCCCAGGTGATGACATGAGGATACATATCCCACGCTGCTGTGGTCTGTGGGGTGGAAGACTCCACAATGGTACTTTGGGCCAGAGCCAGCAGGGTCACGTAAACATGTAGCAGTTCATGGTGTGCCTTTGTGAGGCCTCCCTGGTCTTCCTGTCGGGGACCAAGACACACTCTTCTGTGGGACGGAGAGGTGTGCAGAGGAGTCTCTGCGTGAGCTGCACTAGTACATCGGAGATGCAGCAGCTGGCTGACTAGATTTGGATGTTTTAACCACAGTGTTTCAGTGTTTAATTCCAGCTGCTCGTTGCCAGCCCCTCTCCGGGTGCGTCTCCGCACACGCAGCCGTAACAGCCTTCTGTGCCCTCCCTGTGGCTGCAGGAAGTTGATCACTGAATAACCACCTTTTTATTTATCTTTGATTTAGCCTTTGTTGTCTTGCTGTGTGTCTTTCAGCTGTCAACACGCCTGACATTTCTATTGCGTTGCCAGGGTGAAAAGAGCGTTAAATAAGTTGCTCTCTGGATACTTTTGTTTCCTTTTAAATTAGATCTAATCAGTGGTAAAATGTAAGTATTTTTGTTATGAAAATGTTCAAATACTCCTGAGACTTCGGAAGTACAGACGCACATGCGGATAGCGTGACCGTGCTCGAGCACGTCTCTCCTCGGGAGGCAAAGGGTGAACCGTGACAGCAGTGTACCGGCAGACCCGCAGGTCCTCCCTCGCCCTGGCAGCCGGAACCCTCAGGCCGGTTCTGCGGCAGCAGGGTGGTGGTCTTGGTGGTACATTTCATGAAAGACCCATCCAACACCCCCGCGGAGGCTGCACTAAGCTCACACCTTGGCAGCTTGGAGGTACCAGGCTGGAGGAAGCCAGGCTTCCTGGCTAACTCTCCTGCTCATGGATAACTTGGTTTACTCCGCAGTCAGGGTCGTGACCAGAGGATCTGCCTGTGGGATTTAGCAGAGGGACGGACTTCGGTGGTGGATTCTGTCTTCACGGAGAACGTGGGATTCTGCAGATGCTCTCTGTTACAGGTGGCACAGGGACGCTGGCTGATGGCCATGGCAGCCAAAGCTCTGGAGGAGGTAAGAAGTCTCTCTTTCTGGTGCTCGGGAGATTGCTTTTGGTTTTGAAATGAGGTCGTTCAGGAGAGGAAACATCACTGCTCTCACATTCTATGCTCAAGAGAGGCCAGCAGAAGGAACCTTTGGGGGTTCTAATTGCTGATTTTACCTGCCAGAGAGATGACTGAATTACAGAACTCATGCTCCCACAACAGGGATACCACCCCAAGATTGGCCTGACACTTAAGTGTTTGCAGCTGCTGCTGGTCTTTCATGTGCAGGAGTTCTGAAAACTCCTCTGGTGCTGCTGAATACCCTTAAAGGGGAACGAGAGTCCTTCTGGGGAGCTAATGGTCAGAAAGTCTGTCATCAGGTGGAGGTACTCATCTTCCGTCCGAAGCTGAAGCGGTGTGTGGTGAGAGAAGGGGAGGTGCAGGTGATTTGTAATGCGCTATATGGTCTTTCACCCCGGGCTAATTCTTTAACTGGTACTTGGGCTGGAAACAGTTGAATCACTGTGAGCAGCCAGAGGTTTGCTCAGCGTGAAATAATTGTAGTGTCCGGTTCAGTTCCTGCTGGGTAAGCCCACATCGCACACCTGCTATCACAGCAACCGCTGACTGACAGCTCAGTGGGCACTTTCCACTTCTGCTGTGTAGAAATCCTAGTTTTGTTTTCTTTGAAGGACTATTTGCAGGCAACAAGATTTTTTTTCAAATACCTAACATCAAAATACCAAGGATATTAAAAATTAAAAAGTGTCATAAGTATGAAAAGAAATATTGCAGCTAATGGCAAATTGTTCATGAGCATAAAAGGTCACGTGCTTTTCTGGCCTACAGGATGCGTGTCTTGAAACTGAAAGTTACAGAATTTGTAGACAAAGTAGTAAGTGGGAATAGTGCCTGTGTTGCAAGAAAATGTGAACTTCTTGCAATTCAGAAGTTAAGCACATATTTAAGTACTTTGTTGGCTGGCAGCCAGAGCGTTCAGCCTTTCACAGAACCCAGTCAGCCTGCAGACACAGCCACTGGGCCAGTAGGTAGAACCATCCTGTCCCCTACGTTGTTCTCATCAACCGAAGAACTCTCTCCATTTTACAGCAGTGCTCAGTAGTATTCAAGATAAACAGCACTGACAAGCGCATTCTTGTGTCAGCCGGAGAAGAGTTTCTGCATCAGGCAGAGTACAGACACACGCATATTCTGGTAACGAAGAATTAAATAATCATCTGATCCAAAGATGTTCTCCCCAGTGCCTCTTACAACTCCTCTCTGGTTTATTTTCACCTGTTTACTCCGGCCCTGCAAACTGATAATGATTTGCTATCTCCTGAGGTAGAAGAGCCCCACGCTGTGTATGAACCTTTGCTTTAGGACTGTGTCAGGTTACAATAAATTCCCATAAGCTCCCATAATATATGGTGCTTCCAAATCGGCAGCACTGTGTGAGACACAGTACATTTGCAGCTTATGATTAAAATTAAGACTTAATAAGTGTTTATGCTTGGCTGGTGCCCAAAAAAAGAGTAATTTTGTCTTAAAGCAGGTTCAGTCCATAAATAATGAGATCTGAACAGGCATTTATTTGTTCGTGATTGCATTTAAATCACCAATTATGAGTTACATGCACTTTTCTTGCCAATTTGCCAGAAACATGTTAAAAGCTTTATTAATGTGAAAAAGAAAAAGGGTGTGTTTCCTTGTGGCCAGTTTTAGCCACCCAGGAACACTATTAACCTCAGGCAAAGGCAAATCTTTCTCCTATTAAGCAAAACCAATATAAACACAGAACTTCAAGTTTTAGGTTACAGTTGTCAAAATACATGAAATAGTATTTATTTCTAAAGCTCCGTTGCCTCTAATGCAGACGGTCTCTGGAACTGTCAGTCTGGTGTAGGCAGCTCGTGCCCGCCTGCCTTCTGCAAAGAGCTTTTCCCATCTTCGTGTTTTCCTTTGTCCTCTGCAAGCCCAGCTGTAGCCCTGGTACCTGTCCATCTGTTTTTAATCAAGGTAAAGCGAAGGCTGGTTTTTTGCAGTTTTCTCTTTTAACCTGCAGAAGTGCATTTATCGCAGCGCACTTATCCTTCCTTATTAGGTGAAAGTTGCAGTTTCAGTCTTGTCCAGGAGGCAATGCCCTTTGGAGAGCCAGTGGTGAGAGACACGAGAGGCGAGCAGGTCATTTTCAGACTCGGAGCCCGTTTCCTGCAATAGCTAACTTGGTCATAATGCTGATAGCAAGACAGTTGCCAAGAGAAAAGCATCTTTTGTTAAGAGTGTGGCTGCAAGGAACCAGAATTCCCAGCTGATCAAACTTTGGTCTGTTCATAGGTTTTGTCTGTGTGTTGGATGGCTCTTCGCTGTAGTCTCCATCCCTCAAATCTGGAGAATAGTTTCCCGCTCCGCTGCGGAGCAGCTTTGGAAGGCGTTCTGTGCGTTGTGTTTCGTGCGTTGTCAGCTTGCAGCCCTACGGTGCAGCTGCTTTTGGCAGGCTCGCTGACAACCTCTTGAAATAGGAAGATGTTCTGGCAAGCTTTGAACTGAAGGTATGGGATTGGAAAGCCATCGCAGCTGCCGTCGTCTTGACTGATGGCTCCCAGAGGAGCCATATTTGTGTAATACCTCATCTCAGATGCTCAAGGAAATTCGCATGACTGGGGCTGTCCAGCGGCACTGTTGGGCTTTTGCACGTTCTGCAATAGCCTGGAATGGCTGGCGACGTTGCAGCTATCGGAGGTTTGAAGCCCTTTGATTTTACGAGACAATGCAGATGATTGTTTAATAACAATAAAAGATCACCTTAGTGATCAAGTATACATTTGAGAAACAGTGATGTTCCTGCCAGCAAGATTTTCATACCTAAGAACTCCTATTTCTCCACAGTTCCAGGAATTAGCCCAGAGTGAGGCACCTCCGTGTCAGTCAAGAGACTCAAACCCTCCCAGTGCCAAATTGCAAAGGCAGAGTCCCCTGATCTTGCCTGCATCATCCTGGGTGGAAATGAGCCACTTCCTTGGAAGAGGAAAGACTTGCCCCATGCTGAGAAAAAAAAATCAGATCCATAATTCATTACCGTCAGGGCAGGCAGCAGTGGAAGCTGCTGTGTAGACGGAGAGCAGGTGTTTAACACAGTCACGCCTGGCCCTGCTCTGAGCAGGGTCAGTGTTAAAAGTACCTGTGTGCCAGCCCTGCCCAGCCTGCGTGAGCACCAGGTAGCGCGGGCTTTATCTCTCGTTGGTGCAGCCGGGCAGGAAGCAGAAAGCCCGCCTTAGGTAGATGTACTGCCCACATTTCCACAGAAGCTCAGTTAGCGGGACCGAACAGAGGAGACGATGGAGGAGTCCACCAGTGACTGTAACAAAAAATAGCAACAGAGATGGGGAAAGGGGAAAGGGCGAGGAAGCAGGGAAGCGCTTTCCGACGCGCAGTCTGCAACGTTGTCTAGTGCGTGCACGATGTCATCTACCATATGGAAAGACGACCGCGGTACAGATGAATAGAAGTGTGGAAGAGGATGAGCTCATTTGAGCAGTCTTGTCTGGTCTTTCCTAAAACAATGCATCGATTTAGATAGCTATGGATTCCCCTGCAGCCCCAACTTCACATGCATTCCTCACTTTCCTCCAGACAGGCTTTAGTGAAGAGCTTATCCTAGCCTTAATCACCTTAAAAGACTTGTGTTTTTAACAGCAGAGTTTTGACCTGGAGCCTGACCAAATGCTCTTGTTTCCCTGATGTCAGGTTCAGGTTCTGGAGCTGCCATCCAAGACGTCAGTCTGTACCCTGCAGCCAGAGGTGGGTGCCAAGCTGGGCATGCCCATGTGTCTGAAGCTGTGGCAGGTAAGGCAAGAGCGGCTGCTAATTGTGCAACGTTTTCCGTGTGATTCATTTTATATGAAGCACATGAATCTTTCTTCACTTGGGTTTTGATTTATTATCAAACCAATCAAGTAATTATACTATTAAAGGGGGGAAAGATTTGTGAACATCCTTAATGTAACTTTCAGGGCTTTCCAAGCTTTAATGGAAGATTTGCAAATGCTCAGGGAAAGCTTTGTATCCTTAGGATAGGTACGGTTTTTGCATCAATCAAGAGGAAAATGAGTGACTTGCCAAAGCCAGTTGTTTGATATGGTTTCTCGCTGCATTAAGAACGATGAGAAATGATGGGGTTACTTTAAAATCAGTGACTTTAATGGCAGGTTACCTTCACTTCGGTGCCCTCGGGACAAGGAAGCGCTCTATCAATATTTCTGTTCCAGACATACAATAGGAACAAAATATTTATGGTTGTGTTGACTTTGGACAAAAAGGCAAACAAAAGAGATAATGAAAAAAACTCACATTCACAGAGAATTCAGCAAATAACATTTATGGGGTGCCACCAGTGAAAGACAAGTAATACAAAAAGGTGGCAGGAGAGGGAGGAAGGAGTTCAGGGGATTGGCTTTAGATCTCCCAACTGGTGGCCAAGCTGATTCCCGGGTTAACCCGCTGCCCACATTCCCTTTCAGGGCTGCAGTACCATCCGAGCTGGTTTACAGCGTGTTATCCCCGCAGGTTCATCTGAACTTTTGTACTGGTTTCGGTTGAAAAGAATACCAGCCAGTTGTGAATTGGAGGCCTGAGTGTCTTCACCCAGGGGCCTGAACCGACTGAGGTCTAGAGGAATTCAGCTGCTGGCTTCAGACAAAAGTAGGAGGGGCCACAGAGCAAGTCCCATGGTGTAATTAAAAACTAGAAAAAAATTAGAAGGAAAATTAAATAGACTGATTAGACTTTCATTAAACAGAAAGTTTCTCCTAAAAATGCAATCAGTGTTCAGTACTCAGCGAAATGAATGGGCCTTTCTGTCTCCTGGACATATTTTAATAAGATGAAGATAACTGAGGAAATGTTCGGTGTTGAAAATGTTGTTGCCTGTATAAAAAGTCCTCTGTCTTGCCCTATTTTCTCCATGCATTAATATTGCTATTCCTCTAGGAAGCAGAGCAGGTGCGGAGTTTTAATTTTATGTGGTTTTTAATTTTGTTGCCGGTGGGGATAAAGCGGAGAACTGGGAACTGGGAGAGGTAAATTACTCCATGTAAATTCTGGCTTTGGGAAGTCACCACAACTTCCTAGACTGCAACAGGCAGGGATAGATAATCCATCTCACAGCTGTATTCGCTCTCTTACGAATGCGCGCAGCTCGGTGTAAAAGCACTGGGGAGGAGGATGTTCTGAAGGGCAAATAATTACATGTGGTGTACCAAAGTGATGCGCTGCCTTCCGTTTTGTGGTTTCGCTGCAAGTGGCTCGCTGAGTAACCCTGTAACCATAAAAGCAGCAGAACACGAGCTAACCCAGCTGCACCCCTTCCTGAATCTCGGTCCTCTGCCGTCCAGGATTTCTTTGCATTGGGCAATGCAGACATACCCAGGAGATGAGCACTCCCCAGCCCACCGCTTATGGGCAACGTGTTGCCTAAGAGACTGCTAGACGTTGCTTATGGCACAGTAAATTAACAAGTTGAAACAGAAGCTGACGTGGCGAGAGCCATATAATGGGCTGAAGGAAGTGTGCTCAGGGCTCTTGTCTAACAGGAGTTTGGGGCCTGCAGCCGTGTACCATCCTATATTTCTGAATGCCAACAGAAAAAGATCCATGTGTAAGAGAAAGGGCGCACCTTACCAGCAGCAGCATGAGTTAGACACTTGACTGCAGAGCAGAAGGAAATTGAGGCTCAGTTTAGGCTTGTAGATTAAGCCTCACCGGCTTCTCCGAAGTAGTTAAAAAGCTGGCAGCTGTTTATTTTGTTGTTTCAAAGCTTTTTTTCCCCTCATTTTACTAGGTCTGGCCTTAAACTCAATGGGTTTTTTTCCTTGTGAAGGTTCATATTCTCAAATACATTGTCCCTTCAGCTTCACACCTTCCTGCTATTACTAATTGGGTGGGGTAGGATTTGCAGGAGTAAGGATAGTCTTCCCTTACATTTTTCGCACTCCTCAGGGAAGGCATCATGTTGCGTAACAGAGCAAACAAAATAATTCAACAGGAATAATACATGTAGAAACTGGAAACACGGAGTTATTACTTTATATAAACTATAGCAATTATTCCTGTTGAGTTGACAGCAGCTCACCTTTTCTTCCTTCCTTGACAGCTATCCAAATGCAACAACAAAATGTTCTGCTTTGGAGGAACAATGATTTATCATTTAATTTTTTCCACTGAAACAGAACATGAATGGTGAAGACTTTTTGCCAGAAGTGTCCGTTATTGGGAACTGAAATAAATAGGCCGTTGTGAACCACTGCTTGGTGAGTCCAGGCATCAGACTGAGAGCTCCCCTGATCTTTCAATAGCTTCTATTGTTCAAGGATCGGTACTCACTGAAATATTACACTTCGTATGGTTAGGCCAAGTCAGGACAAAGTAGTGGTGGAGACCTTCATTTCACAGAAAACAATACTTTGTTTTTAAAATACTCCAGTCTTCAATCTCACATGGAAGTCACTGGTTTTCAAGTCTAAGCTAAGCTACCACAGCGCATGCTAAAAAAAAGGGGTTGCTTGGCACTTCCCATCATGCTGAGCACTCACCTGTCTCTTATTTTAATGAGGGTTCTGAGCACCCATGCAGATCTGGCCATCCCGAGGAGCCGATCCTGTCCATCCATGTCTTGTTTCCTTGGAGAAGGAAAGCTCCTGTAGAGCCCCAGGGCTCTGTGCTCACAGAAGAGCAGTACAAGTAACTTCTGTGAGCAAGGAGGGGTGGGGGTGGTTTATGCCCAAACTGGGGGCATTTTTAAACTTAATCAATGACCTATGAAATACTTTTTGTTTTGTTTTGAAGATTTTACCCTTTATTAATTATAAACAAAGTCTGGGATGTTCGTTTCATTCAGATGTTTGGGGTTTTTTAACTTTTCCCCTGCTATTAAAAACCAGATACTCTTCATCCAAAATACCCGATGAGTTAGCATTAACTCACATGTATTTGACACATATTCATTGCTTTGACATTACATTATTTTAGCAAATCAGAAATTTGACGGAAAAGTCACACACAGTCCTGGGCATTATGGGACACCTTCTCTGTGGGCTTTTCTATCCAGAGCATGCTCCCTACCTTTTCAGAGGAAAAGGGGTCTTAAAGCGAGGAATGAGGCTGCTGCAGCATCCCAGGTGTGGGCAGGCCTTTAGAAAGAGGTGTGGGCCTTTAGAAAGATGATGTAGGGGATTTCACCTTGGTTTCCTTCTTTTAAGGAGCAATTTTCTTCCCCACTCAGTGAGATCCATCCCTCATTTAAACACTTCTTTAGGCTGAATAGATCTGAGAGAGAACACGAGGCTTTTACTCAGCGGTCTTATTACCCAGACCACCCATCTCTTGTTAGTTTAACTCCCCCTAGAACAAATATCAACCGGTGGGAGAATCGTCTGCACCGTTAATAGAGGCAGCGAGCCCTTGGCCACTGCAGGTTTGGGTCATGGCCCTGGCAGCCAGCGAGTTTGAAGAACCTCATTCAACGGGGTGATGCCAATGAGTTCTTTGTAGATGGCCACCTTTATTTTGAACTGAATACCAAGCAAACCAATCCTGTAGGATCAGACAGTGTTTGAGGAGAGTGAATAAGCTATTGGATGCATTTCTTAGAGTAAGATGTCCCTGCATGAGGCGGTCGTCATGCTAATGTCTATTTTGGTGTTTCTTCTCCTATTAAAGAAATAACTGGCATTAACGGATGCCTGGTTTTTAGTTGTTTTTCACTAGGGATTCGCATCCTCACTCATACAGCCCGTTACCGCTCATGGGGTCATTAGTCTTTTGGCTGGAGCAATGATGAATATTTTCCTTAAGTGTGACATGTAATCCAGTAATGTTCCCTTCTTTGAGTTATTTCAGAGGCTTAAATAAATTAGGTGTCTGCTCAGGGTGCCATGCCCTTTGGCCTGTGACATCATTAATCAAAATAGCTTTCAATTGGTTACAGTGGGACTCAGGCGCTGTTAACCCCTTGGTGACTCACCCAGAGATTCCTGCAGAGAGGTTCAGTGTTTACCTTTAAGCGCTGTGGTGCACTTGGGTAAACGATCCCTGTGTGTAACCCTACACTTGGCAATGTCAAACTGGAGTCTTGAAGTGTGGTACTTCTTTCCGTGTCTGTATGGCATTGCTTGATAGGAACTCGGCTGCTCTAAGCAATGCTTTTAGAGGAGCGCAAGCAACGGTCAGGCCATGTCTGAAAATATCAGGCAGCTTTTTTTCAGTGTTGTAGGGGGCAGTGGTTTGGATTTTGAGAGAGAAATTTTCTCTATGTGTATATATATGTGTATGTTAGACACATGTTTTATATAAACCACAGAATTTTATATGTAGATGTAAAAATTGTAAGTGCACGTCAGCAGTTACCTAGTAACGCTTTTTGTAAGTGGATGGACTATTAAGATTTCACATTCAGACTTCCAAACTTTTCACTTCTACACCAGTCAGCATCTTCATTTATTTTCTTGGTGCTTGGATTGAAACCTACTTGGGGGTGATAATTTTCCTAACAGACTCTCTACTTTTTCAAACAATTTTACGTTTCTCTTGATCAGCTCAACGGTGGTTCACAACCTTTGCTTCTGGCTGGCTATGAAGACGGATCGGTGATCCTTTGGAGTTTGTCAATGGGAAGAGTGTTGAGCCAACTTGTTTGCCACCAGGAGCCAGTGATGAGCCTTGACTTTGACTCCGAGAAGGCCAAGGGGATCTCGGGCTCATCTGAAAAGGTGCTTAGCATCTGGAGCCTCAATGAGCAACAGAACCTCCAGGTCAGGATCATTGGCCCTCTAGTGTCATTTATCCCACTTTGCACTAACAGTTTGATAGACTAAAAAAATATTTAGTCATGAAGAGGAGTTGTTGCAGATCTCTGGCTAATTAATCACAGACTGGTTAGAATGTCTGTGCTATGTGACTAGACTTAGCAAAAGATGGTGAGGATTTAAAAAAAAAAAAGAAAACCCCCTCTCTCACATGTTTCTGGTTTTACCAAAGTTGCAACAGGCACACAAGCCTAGCATTACTCAAGCCATTGCCTCTGTATCTTCATTTATCACGTTAGTAGTATCCAGCTCTCGGAATGTCCTAAACATTATAAATGAGTTATAAAAATGAGAAACAAAGGATTGCTTTTCCAAAGGTTCGGCTTGAGTGGATAGAGGTTTCTTTCCACTGTGGGAAAGACAGAAATACGCCATTGAACACTTTGCAGAGTAGGAATAGCCCAGCTAGCACCAAGAGGGCAGGAGGTTTAAGCAACCAACTTCCTCTGGCACCTTTAGAGCTCTAGCCGGAGAGAGGGAAAATAAGTTAACTGGATATATCAGTTTGTGCCTGAGCTACACGTACCTGGAATGGCTGGTTCAGAAGGAGGTCTTGTAACCACCAGCTCTGGCTATGCTAGGGAGTGGCAATAAATATTGCTTAATCTAGACAACTTTAGCAAGTGTTTCAATGGTGCCAAGGGGTTAAGAAGGTTGTAACTAGGTGTGGAAATAAAGTGCATAAATAATGCCCCTGAAAATTAAAATGGCCTGTCCATAGCCTCTCCACTGCTGAGTGCTTTAACCTTTTTTAAAGTGGTGGTTGTCCCCTGAACACACAACGAAGAGGATCTGAACCAGCCCCTGTGTGCCCCCATACCCCCCTTGAGAAGAGAGCTGCTGGGTACACCCAGTCATGGAAGAACAATAATTTTGCTTTTGTGGAGATTGTTAGGTAGTGTGGTGAGTTGGTGCTGTTTTCTGAATGGTGTTATGGGAAGAAAACCTGTGCTTGGACACCCGACGGTGACACGACACCCAGGGGATACCAGGAGGGTATAGCATCTGTTGGGCATCACCACAGAACTAGCAGTGTGGGGTGGCAGAGCACTAGGACACCAGTGCCTGTAGTGTAAAGGCATCCAACTGAGATGAAGTTTGGAAGACAGCGTGCTCACCGAGGAGAATGTCTGACCTTATTGAGCAGTAAGACGCAAAATAAAAGAGGCACTTGAGACTGAGTAAGTAGCAAAGGCGTTCTAAGCAAGTGTGGTAAAGAAGTGTTTTAGCAAGTCTGGTACACAGTTGGTTTGGGTTTTTTGTTATGTTTGCCCTGCCCCTGCCCCAGCATTTCTACCACTATTGGCACCCATCTGCACCGGGTGTCCGTAGCTCGGGGAAGCAGAAGGAAGATAAGTCCCAGTAAGAAACTTGGTATTGAGACTAGTTTTCTAAGGCCAAGGTGTTAGAAATCTGACATCACACCAGGCTTCTTAAGGCTCCCAATACTCTGGTGTTGGAGAGGCAGCTGTTCCTTCATATTCATTATAGCATAGCTCTTGCCTAAATTCAAAGAGAATATTGTTCTCCACGTCACATTTCAGTCATGAGTTAACCATAATGCAGGGGTACAGGTATGACTCAGGCGGAAAAACAAACAGTTGTTCACCTGAAATATTCCAGGTATTGTTTTCCATGGGGCAGTCACATTCCCAGGAGATGTAGGATTAGTTACACCTCCAGGACATCACACTGAGAGATAGCAGCTTTTCTCAGAAGAAGTGTAAATGCCAAGAATTATAAACTGTAAGTAATGTTTCTGTGCTTCGTGCGTAGTGTGAATGCCCTAATAAAATGCATCTTTCATGTGAGCGCTAGAGATTGTCAAGGACAGAGATTAAGTTTTTTTCCACTATTGCATTAATAATATAAACCAGATGGGGATTTTTTTTTTCCCTGACATTCCAGGTACCTGAGGTAATGGTAGACGTTGGAAAGCCACTCAGTGGCACATTATTTTTATTCTAAAGGGTTTTAATAAGTAAACGTGGTGCATAGCTATCTGCCGTTGGAGAAATAATGACGCAATGATGGTACTTCAGCTCTGTTTGAAGTGGCAATGTTCCAGTGTGTCAATGAATAGATGATGAAGGTAACTTCATATTTTATTGCTATGGGGAAAGTTTGGTGTATTGTCTTCTACAAGAAAGTTGCTGAAATCATCACTGTCAGCAAATGCCTGGATTGGTTATGAGCCTTCTGATTTGGACGAGATAGTGTAATTATGTGACGATGTTTGTGGTAGAATGTAGGGGGTAAACAGCTTCTGCAGGTGAATAAACAAAGCAGAGTTAAGAAATCTGATCATCACAGAAGCTCCTTTATATATGACAAGAAAAAATTCTGTAAGCTGTAATGTAAAGTAAGCACACAAGTTTCATTGTTGGGTTGCTGAGGCTTTTCCTCAAATGCTGAAGCTAAGGCTATTTTTCTAATAAGAATAGGTCTTAAAGACATGATTTGGGTGTAGGAGAGGGAGATTAAAAAAATAGAGAAGAAAAATCATAGATGACATGTAGAAGACATGTTAGAGGTAGATATCTGTTGGCATCAGCATGTCAGAATTTCTTAACGCATCTGCTAGTAGGTGCAGGTGTCCTTGGTCATGACTGGCTGAAAGCAGCTCACCTGTTTTTACCTCTTTGTTTTCTTAATTACAAGCTGGTTTTCTGGTTAGGAAATTATGTTGGAATGCTTTTGACTACAGTAGTTGCCTGTAAGTGACTGGATGGCACAAATCCTGGCAGGATTTCACCTGGCTCCATATACCTTGAGCAAGTTGTTCTGCTTTGTTTTGTTTTTCAATCTCACCTCTTCTTTTTGCACAAATGCCCACTGTTCCCTCATGTTCCGTAGCCAAAAGGCATCACCATTATAGGCTTCATTTTTATAGGCTTCATTTGCAAGTTGTAGCTTGCTGATGCCATGTGATTTCTCCCAGTTGCCCTGATTTTGCTGTATGGATCTTGCCCACGTAATTGACAGTGATGATGGGAAGCACCACGCCCGGGATTGGTTATAGCCATTAGCTAATAATCTCAGTTACAGAGTAAGGCCCATCTTGCATTTGCCAGGCTGGTGATGTAATAAATCCTTCCCTTGCCAGTACGCATACGCCAATAAAAATCCCACTGAAGACATGCTTCACTGGTGTAACTGGGAAGTTTGGAAGAACACACGGACTAGCCAAAAGCACAGGGTTTACAGTAGCAGCCCCACAAAAAGGCCTGTGCGGCCTCCTAATGTTCATCAAGCCTGAGCAAAACTTGCTGTCCTCCATTCTGCATTGGTTGCAGACCCATTCGTCAGGTCCTGTTTAAAAGATGAATGTATGGAGTGTGCAAGAAGCACATCAAGTTTCGTTTAGTCTTTTTTCTCATTGAACTGCACATCTCTTGCTGTCTGAGTAAATAGCTGGGAGGTTGTTATGTGGTTGAAATACAATTGCTTACAGCTTTGTGCCTGTAAGATGTGTTCAGCTGCATCCAAAACCAACTTTGACCAGCATTTCTGGAGTTTGTTTTCCCAATCCAGTATCATTGCTAACATTATCTGCAATGAATACATGCTTTATAATCCTGTACTAACAATGCATCATGCAATGTCTCTCGAGGAGGAAGCTACTCAGATGTAATGCATTTGTCAATCCCTTCCTGTCTCAGAACAGCAAACACGATGCAACGTAGTAAAACATGCACCGACTTAATACTAAGCTTTAGTACAAGATTCAGTCTTAGCAGGTAGTGGCATTACTGCGTCATCTCCATTGTGCTTACAAGTGACAGTACCTCAAGTCAGCTGAAAAAGCTGTTCTGCACGCTCTGACAACAGCGAGGCTGTTTCAAAACACACACGCTCCGGTGCATACGCCGTGTGTTTCGCAGGGAACTACTGACTAACACAAGTTACCTGAGGTGAGAACAGCAAAAGTGTGTTACGCTGAGCTCTTCCTCTGTCCTTCAGGGGAAGCTCATGTCAGTGAAGTGAAAACTTTTCTTTACAAGGCCAAAGTCCTGTGCAGCCCCAGTGGCTCCTGAAGGAAGCTAAACGCCTTCCAATTTAGTTGTGCCCCTCAGAAACTTGTGCCCCAGTAGTCTCCAAACAGTAACAGAAGACTTCCAAGATTGAAATCAATAACTTGGTCATAATCCCCTTCTTGGAATTTGGTGTAAATGAAAGTCTCTTGGGAAGGAGTACTAGAAATACAGATTTCCTGACACTGTAACCTAATTCCTGGAAGCATTCCTTTCTCAAGACTGTGGTAAATGCTACCACAGCTTATTGGGGTTTTTGTGAGGGGCCACAGTACTAGAAATAAGTAGCAGGTAGTTTAAACATCAGCTTGGAGTCTCGGCACAGGAGTATCACTGAAGCAGGGAAAATGTACGGCCACAGCTCTGAACATTGCAGCTCATACAAGAATAGCCAGAAGAGCAAAGCTGTGTAGTCAGGTGCTCAAAACTTTCACTCAGAGCTTCATTTGTCCCAGAACAGAAATAGTTTTAAATGCAATATAAATGAAAAACATACAGGGGATGCTTTTGATTTGAGAGAATGGTGCTGGAGATAGCGAGTTTAAGGTAAGGGCTTTTCCGTCTCTCCCTCTAACTGTGCTCCCAAAAGCATCATCTGCCATGGGTGGAAAGCTGCCTACTGCCTGTGTGGCACCAGCATACATGGGTGGGCAACGGTACCTTCGAAAATCCCAAAAGGTTCCTTTTTCTTCTGTTTGTTTTAAACAATTAGAGCTGATCTATAGCTTTCTCACACAGGTTTACAAAACACACAGACTTGTCAACGCTGGCATATCTGATATCACCATCCGTCCAGACAAGAAGATTTTCGCAACAGCAGGGTGGGATCATCGCATCCGGATCTTTGGCTGGAAAAAACTGAAGCCTTTAGCAGTGCTGGACTACCACACAGCAACGGTCCACTGCGTGTCCTTCTCCGATCACAGACACCCCCCTGAGAGACTGCTGGCAGCTGGCGCGAAAGATCACCGCATCAGTATCTGGTCAATGTACACCCAGACGTGACATGTCCCACACTGTCACAGGCAAAAGGAAAGCGGGAGGGGTGAAGCAATTCTTTATACTGTAATTCAAACCTGGATGTGGGGATGTAGTAGAAAACCTTTCCAGGCTGAAGTGAGGTTAATTTTTATGCTGCTTGTTCAAGCTGCAGGTTTTGCTTTCCAGAAAGGAAAGTGGATTTTTAAAACTCGTAACAAGCAGAGCAAGGCAGAAGAACAAGTCACAAAGACACGGAATTAACCACTTTCTGTCACAGGTTTTGCAACAGTTTTTCTTTGGCAGGTTGCTTAAATAACTTGTGCCAATACCTTCTTTTGTGAACAAGGCCTGGAATCCCTCAGACTGCAGTGGGGGCAGAATACATCTGTTTGTAAGTCAGTCATATCCAAGAATCTGAATCAGTGTAAAATACCACTCTCTTGAAAATTTATACCCATTAAACCACCTCCAGTGGTTTCTCATTGTCAGTTACTTTTTCTTCCCCCTAACTGCGAGGCTATCAGAACAACCTTGATTTGTTCACACTTCTGTCAGTGTCTAACTTAAACCAACAGCCAGGAATGTGACTAGGGACGGCCTTTGGCATTTATGAATTTCATTATGTCTCCTGTCACCTCAAGCCTCACAATTAATCACAAGAAAGAAAGGGGG